GGCTGCCACTGCTCTTCTGTCCTGTGTGTTGGCTTCCAGGAGATGTCAACTTGGCCACTATGAGAAGCTGTTTTAGTTTCAACAAAGTGGTTTCTGTGCCAGAGGATCGTTGCAAGAGCCTCTATCAGAGGAATCCAGAGAACAGGTTTACATTAAATAGCCGTAGGAGTGTTGTTGTTGTTTTTAAAGGAGATGTTTATATCTTCTCTTGTCAATTTTTCCTCCCTTCAGCCCACTTTGATATTTAGACACCAGTCTCTTCTCACAACTGTTCAGCCCTAGCAACATTCAGGCTAAAACTGTAAAGCAAACCAGGTCTGCCCAGCTGTCTCTCCAAAATGTTCTGTTTAGGCATGCAAAGCAGGGTGCTACAAATGCAGAAATCTGTTGTACACTTTCGATCAAAGCAATGACAGTTAATAAAAACATCCTGAGACACCTGAAAAGAAATCCAGCATAATCAAATGCTCACCAACGAACAACTTGTACAACTCAAGGTAAGAATGAAATAGCAATAGAATAATAGAATGGAAGAGGCATTCTTTTGTCTTGAAGTCCTTCAGCTACTAGTACAAGTGGGGCTTTGTGTTGCATAATACTATTTTGCCAGGCAGAAGTTGATTTCAGATTTCACATCAAACTCTGTCCTGAACTAATAACAATTTAAAATCCACTTTGTTTGGGCTTTCAAAATCTATCATTGGCATACTATTACTCAGAGTTGTTTGTATCCTTCATGACATTTCACATGGCTACTGGCCTCACCCTCTTACATTTTTTGCAGTAGGGTTGAATTGCTACTAGAGTGTTCTTACTGCTTGTTTTCATCCTTCTGAGTTGACCAGTACCTACCCAAGCTTGCCAGTGGGAGGGCACAAAAAGGGCAAACAGTCAGAAATCTTATTCTTCCTTGGACACATTTGCTTTTGTGTGTGTGGGGGGGGGTGTGTGGAATACAGAGATTGTGCAGGGTGGGAGAGAAACTATGTTATGGAAGGATGGGGTGGGGAATTTATAAAGGTTGGCTATTGGAGGGGGAGAGAAAACCCAGAAGCCAGAACAAGGCTGAGATACCCATCAAATGGGAAGTAGAAGAATTGCAGTTCAAAGAAATGTTAGAAAACTGAGTTCATAGTCAGCAATTTTGGAAGGCCGATACAAAAAAGTCCCCTATGTATCGTGTATTCAAAGGACCATTGAAACTACCACTCATGTCCTATTATATTGTACACTCTATAAGGATCCTAGGATCTACCTTATAACTCCTTACCTGATAAAACATCCGAGAAATTCTGATCTTTTGTATGCTTAGTTGTTGTCAAATCAATATGATTCAGTCTCCTTGAACATAGCCAAATTTTGTATATTCAGACAGATTTTGATTGCCCATTGATGAAGCCACCATTAATTATATTTTCTGTTTTGTTTATTTATTTTTATTTTAATGTGGTTTTATCCATAATTCTGATTTGTGACTGTAATAAAAATTCTCTCTCATTGCCTTTACTGTTTGGTTTTAGAGCAGAAGCTCTAGTTAAGATCCAAGAAATAATGGAGAAATGCGGTATAAGCACTGAGTTTAGATCACAGGTGTCAAACTCAATCGCATCATGACTTTTTTTGCCTTTGCAAAGTGGGGGTGGGCGTGGCCTGCGCATGACACATCTGGCCCGTGGGCTGCCAATTTGACAAATTTAGATTGTGCTTCTTGGATTAGAAGTAAAACATTTTGAAGGAAAAAACCCAAGAAGATCCAATTGCCTTTTGAACAGCACCTTTAGGATATACTAGCAATGTTATAATATGGCATCTCTCCTCTGGAAGTGAAACTCTGCCTGTAATTATAGTTGATTAAGACACAAAGCTGCAGGAAGCAACTTCATAGTCTTGGGTCTTGGTCCTCTCTTCAGGCATCATGCAAAATCATGGTCCTAACTACAATGCAATAGGATGTCTCTATTTAGTGCACAGCCATTGAATGTCTCCAGTGAAGACATTCTTCAATTATGTAAATCCACATCAAGTATGATATAAGGTGCTTAGTGTTGCTACAGACTTCTCCCTCCACCCCCAAAAGCTAGTCCTTCCAGATATGTTGGAAATACAGAACCCAGAATTCCTAATGACAATAGTCTGGGAAAGAGTGGAACAAAGCAAAACGTCTGAGAGGAAGACACTGCTACATTATTTTTTTAATACAATATACTTAACTGTTTAAAAACAAAACTCTGGTTAAAATGTATTTCTTCCACCCATTGATCATAAGTATCTATAAAAGCTGACAATGGCAAAATAGGATTTTCCCCTTAACATACAAAAAAAATACCTTCCTGCTGAGGTTTCTAAAAACAAAATGCTTACATCTTCTGAAAACAAACAAAAATTCTTTCAATGCCTCATAAATACTGCTTTTATACATATATAACCATCTCCTGTGCTTTTCAAGAACCGAGGAAGTAGCTAACCAGCTCCCAAAGCCTCATATCATGACAAAATGAACTTCGAAGTCTCTGTCAAGTTGTGACATGCCAGTTGATTCTCATGAATGAGGGCTTCACCTCTTTGGTCAATCCCACAACAATTTAGGTCTCTTGAGGAAGGGGATGCTTCAACCAAGAGACTAAGTCCTGCTCCTAGTTTTCAACTTCATACGTTCATGTTGTTCATATGTAAAGTCATGAAATGCCCAGAGATTTGAATGGCATGCATATCCACGAAAGAGGGAAAAACATAGGGAAAGTGCATCAATATAAGTAAGCAACTTGTTAATGGTTTCATGGTGTATAATTTTAGGGTTCACTTATCCATTCTTTGTTCGACCCATGACACCTAGAGTAAAATTGTCTTAAATCTAAAAGAGCACACACAATGCCTTTCAAAGCAGTAAATGGTGTGTAAATAGGACAGATTATAAATAGTAATTTGCAGATATTTTATATCCTAGGAATCCTTTTTCCTTAGTCTGACTAGATGAGGGTCTCCTCTACCACAAAACTCCACTGAAGAAGAATCTTCGATACGCCCCAAGGTATTCTGGATTCACATGAAGCAACAACCAACAATCAAGTTTCACCATTGCCACAGGTGAAATTAGAATTACATAATGAAATTGCCGGATTCAACCTCCAGCACCTTCTTTTAAAAAGAGCAGGGAGTAGATCAGTGGAGAAACTCATTCCCTGGCTAATAATTGAAGCCAAAAATATACTATCTTTGCCATTCTAATATCCTATCATAAATAATAACTGGGGATGTGGGAAATCATTGTCTAGTACATTAGCAGGGCAATAAGTAGGGGAAGGAAGACAGTTTAGGCAAGTTGAACAAATGATCTGATCTGGAGTAATTTTCTAAGAATAAAGAGGAAGGGGAAAAAACCAGGCAAAATTAATAATTCCTGTCTCTGATTGCTTTATCCATTTCTTAATGATCTGCCAGGAGAAATAATCAGCATAAGAAAACAGTTTTTTTCTTGTTTGCCCAGGTGTGTATTGCATTTTCAAGCAAACAGGTTAGAATTGGACTGCTGGAACTAATCATCTACTGTAGATTTGAAAACCTCAGAGCCTTCTTCCGGTATAGAAGAAACTTGCAGCCTGTGGAACTCATCCTTATAACTAGCAGGCACTATGAAACCTTTGGCTTGGGCAAAGTCTGAATAGTGAAAGCCAAATGCTCTGCCCTTGCTATTCAATTAAGTGGTAACCTCAGCTTTTGCTCTGCAAGAAACATTATAAACCTTCCTTGATTCCCCTGATCACAGCAAGGGAAAAAAAGGACTGACAAATTCACATTCTAGACTCCACTGTATTTCTAGGGTATGTTTCAATGTGTAACTTAGTTGGGCTAAGAAAGAACTGAACTTTAAGAGCTGAGACTGATCAATGGCTACTTTCTTAGTTTATAGCCTAGCAGAGATTTGAATACACAGTACTGCAGATCCAAATAAAACCCTTTCCTTTTAATCTCCCAGCACTATAAACAAATGAAATGTTTATTACTTAAAAGCTATTCAGTCAAAATCCTTTGTTTTTATGTCTGTGAATCACAAATACAGACACTGCATGCTGTATCTGTAGAAATGCAACACAAATATTGCATGCTGCATGTATAGAAATGCTCTACTTGAAATTCAACTCCTTTCTGAACTATTTTTAAGCCATCTGTAAAATGGAAATATTTATAACAAACAAATGTAGGTCATTCACAAAATAAGCTTCTCCCAAAATTTCATATTGAAAAATCATATAAATTTAACAACCAATATGAGTGAGCTAGTCCTCTCTAGGCTATCTGGAAAATATTTCCTTGTTGTTGTTGTTAGTTGCGAAGTCATGTCTGACCCATCGCGACCCCATGGACAACGTTCCTCCAGGCCTTCCTGTCCTCTACCATCTTCTGGAGTCCATTTAAGCTCACACCTACTGCTTCAGTGACTCCATCCAGTCACCCCATTCTCTGTCGTCCCTTTCTTCTATTGCCCTCAATCTTTCTCAGCATTAGGCTCTTCTCCAGTGAGTCCTTCCTTCTCATTAGGTGGCCAAAGTACTTGAGTTTCAACTTCAGGATCTGGCCTTCTAAAGAGCAGTCAGGGTTGATCTCCTCTAGGACTGACCGGTTTGATCGCCTTGCAATCCAGGGGACTCGCAGGAGTCTTCTCCAGCACTTTAATTACTGGCCTAGTGGCTGGGATACATCCATGTTGGAGGAATATTTATAAAGCTTACCAAAATCGCTGTCACACTGCCACATTTCTGAAGTAAAATAGAAACCACACCATCAGCATGAAAGGGCATGAAAAGTAAAACCCATATTCCTCTTGTGGCTTCCTAGGTCAGCCTATCCTAACCTGATGCCCTTTGATGTATTAGACTAGACGTACCATTATTACCAGCCAACAGGAAATCCTTAATTCAGCAGAAGTCTGTAAACTTAACAGACTTACTAGCTCTCAGGCTTTTGACTACAGACAAATAAAAAATAGTTCATGTTGTACTTACACCACTGGAAAGGTTCTCAGCATAATTTACATGGGGAGAGGAAGGTCAGAAAGCCTCTTGGAGGTCTTCAGTATTTGTTATCATTCTGAAACAAATAAGAAGGCAGTAATTTAATTTTTTACATAATTTCTTAGAAGTTATTTTTCATATTATTGCACACATCAAAATAAACACCTCACAAACAAGCAATCATTATTTCATTTTCTACCAAAATTCCTATAAAGCCAGAATTTGTCTTAAAATAGACAGGACTCTGATGGGTAGAAGGGTCTTTTTGAAATATTTTACAGTGTCTCACAACGTAAACGCATCTGGACATGATGGGTTGCAAAGCTGTAATTATTGAATAAAACACAGAAGTAAAATACCAGTTGCTCAGAAAGATGTATAGGTTTAGAATGACAAATCAACATAAGCTGACAACATGACTTGAGGTGCACAAAACTATGTCATTTTAAATTTGTTTTGCATCACTTAGAGAAACCAAACATATCTCACTTCAAAACTGTTAATGCTGTATTTGATTCTGTGCTATTTTGGGTACCCACAGGTACTGATCTCCGAAAGATCCAGAGAAATCTACAACAGTGATTAAACAGGGCAGAAATAAGACATCACAAGCAAAGAATGGGAAGATTGGGCATATCAAGTCTAGAGGGGGAAAAATAATGACAGTACATTTTAACAATTCTCCAATATTTGCAGAAAAATGGCAAAAATGACTTTTTTTTCTGATCACCTAAGAAGTTAGTAAGAAATATGAACAAGATTTGTAATAAACATTCTGCAAAGATATCTAATTTTTTAGGGACATTGAATAGACACAACAGCTTTCTACCTTGACTTTGACTAGACTGGAATAATTTTTTTCAAGGGACCACTACAAGAGCTCATGGCTAGAATTTTTTTTTATTTCTAGAGCAACATTATGAATCTCACATATGCAAATAACTTTAACATGATTGTGCTCAATAGTTTGTTTTGCTTTAAAAAAGAATTCACAAACATTAGAAAAAGTCCCTCAGCTTGATCAAGCCATAGAATCCACAAACATTTCTGCTAGATCTAGCCCAAAGGCCATCTAGTCCAGTGTTGATGGCGCATTCCATTCAGTCATGTCCAATTCTTGGCAATTCTATGGGCAAGTCTTTCCACAATTTCCGTTCTTGCATTGCTTCGTTGAGTTTTTATTTGGCGGCCTGGTTTCCTATTACTGCTAACTCTTCTCAATATAAGTGTTTTCTCCAGTGAATTCCCCCGCATGACATGGCCAAAATAAGTGAAATGCAGTTTTGTGATTTTTTTCCTTCCAGTGATATGTCTGGTGTTCGGCGCTCCAGTACTTGCTTGTTGGTCATCTAGTCCAGTATTCTGTGCCAACTAGTGGCCCTCAAGATACATTTGGAAGATCAAAAACCCAGATTAGAAGGTATGCATTTCTATAGAAAGAAAAATTGTTGGTACTAATAACACACATCCCTGATATCCTGTATATTTAGGAAACAGGAAGATGTGCATCCATTATATTGGCCAGTTTCAATAGTCACATTTGTAAGGGCTGTTTCCTACATTATCTGCCATATTTGCCATGTAAGTTCCCTTGTGTAGTAGCTGAGCTGCAAACATTCTAATAAGTGAAGGAGAAGTCGCAAACTCAGGTTTAAAAACAGTACAGCACCTTTAAATGTGAAAATCAAATCTCAGTTGGGGAAAATATATAAGAATGCAGACAGGGCCCTCTTCCCTGCCAACAGCCCAAAGACAGAAAACAGAGTCCACACATCCATAGTGACTTCCAAACTTAATGTGAACTGAAGAGTCAATTTTTCACTATATCATTTGATTTCCAAAGAATCCAGTAGCTGAATACAGGCTGTATGATTTTTGGATATCCCTCCCTATAATGGCATTTCAAAACCATAAGGCCTCAACCCTTTCAGTCTGACAAACAGAATTTAAGTTTGTCTTCTTAGCATTAACCAGGCAGAACAGCAAGTATTATTAATCTGTATGACTAATGCAGAGGTTAAACCTGACAAACCTTTGTCCTGTCTGCATTATTCATTAATGAAATTAACTTGTTAAAGTGGGGGGGGGGAGAAAGAGGAGGAAAGGGAGAAACAGAGACTGAAAGAGGAAGTCAGCCTTCCTTCCCTCTCTGGTGCATAAATAGTATGCAAAGAGTGGAGGAGAAAAGAGGGAGGAATTCCGTATTCGTATGAAAATCGTGGCAGCAACTATAGGGTGGAATGAACAATCTAATCCTCAGCTTAAAAGCTGCTCTAAAAGACAGCTCAAATTTACAATGGATGAGCCTTCATGGCAATCTGTTTTTCCGATATTAAAAATCTCATTTTCTCAATGCCAAGGACAAGTGGAAGCGTGAGGCACTGGAGTATCAACTCGGCATTTGTCTCATTTGACATTAAATCATTCTCATTTTCAACTTGCATTTTCTAATATCTCCTTGGGAGCCACTTCAGTTTTTTGTTCATTTCTCTCTGACTGCAATTAAGATATTTGAGTACAGCATCTCCACCTTTGTCTCCACCTCACATACTTCCTCTCGGAATACCTTTTTGCTTTAACCAGTTTCTGAGCAGTTAGAAGACCAACAAATGCAGTCTTCCCATTAAGATTCACTGGCCAGAAAAATTAATTCACCTTAAACCATAGTGGAGGAATGTAGTACGTATGGAAGAATCAGCTCATATTCATTAAGATTCAAAAGACAGTTTCATGATGAAGACACCAAAAGGGATTTCTTATTCTAAAGAAGTTACAGTACTCCCATCTTTTGTCATAGCCAGACTGTGGCCCTGAAATCAGATATCAGATAGTAATACCTACCCTCCAGCTCAGGATCCCAAATTTCAAATGAACTTTTGGAGAATGAGGGTGTGTCCTCTAAAATTTTGCAATAACATTATGTACTTGAAATGTTATTGTATAACAAT